AGAGAGAGAGAGAGAGAGAGAGAGAGAGAGAGTCTGTCCGTCCGTCAGAGGAGAAAGTGATCATTAGATGACTAATACACAGGTAGACGAAGCAAAGTGTTGCTCCACACCTCCCGGCGCTGTTGTCTCTCAAATGGACTGGAAGGTCGTTTCACTAATAATTTACCTTTTTCTCGATGAATAATGTATAGGAATTTTTTTGGCTATTTATTTTAAAGCTAAAAATACTATTACACAATAGTCTTGTGTGAACGCAATCGATTGACTGAGTCACTCAGGTAGATACAGAGCGCCGGGAGGCAACTGGGCTGTCTTATATAATATACACATCATATCCGATATAGTGAACAATAATTCATAAAAATTACTGCATTACAATATTAAATATAAATTTGTTTATTAGTGTGATATTTAGCATGCATATAATAAAATTATCACTAAATTTATGCTATTTATGGTGTAAAACACGCTATAATGTACCAGGTAACTTTAACGTGGCGTACACTGTAATACCCGATATATGAGTAATAAAATTTTTAAATTGGATTATAATTATCATTGAGTTTTGAGGGCACTGTTAGGGATAAAAGTGATGCGAAAATAAATTGAAAAACTCTTTCAACCGCTGAATGCAATTGCAAAGCAATGGAAAAATAAACATTCGTTAACTATATTAACACAAAAAAAATCTACTTATTATTATTAATAATAATAAAAACGATTAATAATTAATTTGCTTTTTAAAAACAAGTTTTCCTCAAAAACAGTTTGACTCAGAAAATAACAAATAGAAAGCTTTGCGGTGAAAGACATTCACAAAACAATTGTGTTGTGATATATATATTGTGAAGTCTTTGACTAAAAAACTTTTGTTTGAGTTATAATTCTCGCGAAAACTTTTCGACAACTTTTCTTTCGTCTACTTTTTATATATTTATTTTATTTTTCTCATTGCATTTGCAATACACACACCAATACATTATGTCATCGGATACACAGGACTCGAATAATAATCCGTAAAAAAAGTTTACACATTATGTGAAAAATTATTTTTCAAATTTTTATGTATATTTAGAAAACACATTCCCATCGAAGAGTCAATCACTTCGGCCCAAAAAATCTATTTGCAAACCATTGCCTCCAATGATATCTGCAAAGGGTTGGCCGAATTGGAGCCTCACGTCAGCAAAAGTGTTTACCACAGCTTCTTGAAATGTGTCGGTCTTATCATCATTGCATTCTCATCGATGAGCAAGGTAATGCATGTTTACGTTTAGTTTGTAAATAATAGTTTGCATATAAAAAATATACTATTTAATTTTAATGCATTTTTAGTTTAATACAGTGTGAATTTAATTTATACTTTTCTAATTACAATACACCATGATAATTTATAGGAAGACATTGATAAGGCATCAGAGAGCGTAACCGTACTGGCTAAACAGACAAATAAAATCAGGAAACATGGTATCCTGATCAGTGCACTTAAAATGGTCAAAACGCCCAATTATAACAAATACACTGATTGTATGTATTATTTTTACCATTTATGCAAAAACTGCAAATGCAATCAGTATTTAAATGCAATTACTTATGCAAATAGTGGAGTTGCATGCTGAACTATTGCACACATTTTACCTGGCTATGAGCGCACTGATATGCGGAATGGAAACCCACAACATCTACGGACTCATTAAAGTCGCTTATCGTTTGCAGAAATTCATTAAAAACTTTAAGTGAGTTTGAAAATCATTACAAAAACTTACAATCAATTAGTGACAAAAATAACTAAACAATTAGCACATAAATAAATGAACAACAAAGTTTATCAACACTACAACTCTAATTACAAAACACATAACTCATACCTACCTTACCTAACATCCAGGGGCTGTCGTGTGATACTGAAAAAGCGTAAGCAATGGGAAAACGAGACATCGCGCCTACACTTCGAGGCCGGTGTTCGGTTCGCCAATGGCCTCAAGAATCTGGCCATCAGTCAAATACCGCCAAAGATCTTACGGGTGATCAACATATTGGGCTATAAGGGACAGGAGAGTGTGGGACTGGAGGAACTGAATAAGGCTGCGTTCGAGTTGCCCGGTATGAACAGCCGGTTCGCCCGCATGTTCTTCATTGCGTACTGGCTTTACGGAAAATCTCACGGAGGGCTCGGACTCAAGAAGGACCTCCAGATGTGTGAGGGTATCATCAAAAAGGAGTTGGAGGACCATCCTAAGGTATGACACGTTTGGCTAATACATGACTAGTTGAACTGTTGTAGGATATTCCTCCCTGTCCATATCATAATAACATACCTTATTTATAGTATAGTTAGTTAAAATAGCCTAATTACTTATTTGCATGATGATATTAATGTGTGCTTTATGCTTTATGTTTGAATAGGCTATTGTATACCTGGGCTTCCAGGCCAAACTGGAACAGGTGAAGGGCAATATAGATGTGTCGATCAAACTGAATGAGGAACTCCTAAAGAACGAGTACACGGCTTTCCATAAGGCCGTCCACTTTGAGCTGATGTTCTCGCACGCCCTCAAATCGGAATGGGATGAGTGCATCAAATACGCGGAACTGGTCCGCAAGGGTACCGAACACTCGCCTACTTATACCACTTATGCTGAGGCGGTGTTCCGGTACGTCAAGTGCATTGAGGCCATGGATGTCCAAC